TCGGCTGTTGTTAGCTCAGGGGCACGCTTTGATTCTGGCACAACCGTGGCATCCGGTGCTGGGCGCTTCCCTACTAGTTGGTCTTGGTTCTTGTCCGTAGCGGGTCTGGATGGCATGGCTTGCAAACGATCCGCACAGCGTGTCGTCAAAGTAGCCGAGTTCTCTCGTTGCTGAGGCAGGGCGGAGACAGGATGGCTTCCTTGCGCGTCCTCGTCTTGCTGCGTCTCGAAGACCTGCAGTCCGTCCAGAAGTGCGTTGTTGACCAAATGCGCAGCCGGCAAAGCAGATGCGCGCCGCGCAGAGCGTGGTGGACGGGAGGGCATAGCTGCCCCATCATTTCGGGTAGTTGTTCGAGATGCAGTCGCTTCTGTCCCAATATCTGCTTTCATCTGACTAAAAGAGGGCGAATCACTGCGCAGACTTGGGAGCTCGGAAAAGGGAGCTAGCCCGAGCGACTGACGAGCATTGCTGTCCTCGCGTGTTGCAGCTGGCGTACGAGGAGAAGCATGTACCGCATACGCTGTAGGTGGACAGTAAGAGTTGGCTCGAGTCCGCGCAGCAGGCGCAAGAGAGGGTCCGATGGGCGATAGCTTTGCATCACGTTTGAAAGTTGCCATGTTATCATCTTTCTTTTGACCCTTGTGGCTCGCTTCTAGGACGATCGTGGCAGGATTGGCAGAATGCGATCTCCTTCTGAGACCTCGGACGGCTTCCTTAGAGCGCACGCACCTCAGCGTGGCCGACTGATCAGCATCTGGAAGCAGTGCTGATCCCGAATTCCGTCGTGCTCTGGGTCTGGTCGCCGGCGCAAGCAGCTTATGACTCTCTACAGCTGCATGTTCGTGCTCCGAAGAGCTGCTATCTGTCTGGTGTAGCTCGTGCAAGAGTCGACTCCCGCGTCGGGCGTCCTGCACCATTATCTTGTTGACAGATCTGGACCTTCGGCGTGCCAGCTTTGGTGTTTCCTCGCCTAGCTCCATAGCCACGGTATCAGTATGCGGCGCAAGTGGTCGGAATGTGCGTTCTCTCTCCCTGGAAGCTCGTGTTGGAGGTCTTGCAGGGCCTTTCGGATGTGAAGTCTGTTGTTGAAGCTTGAGCAGGGCCAGGTGCTCCTCGAGCAAAACAGATGCACGCACGTCGTAGTCCTGGCATTCAGCTGGCTTCGCGTGCGCATCCCTAGGCCCCGCGATCAGAGGACTATTGCTTGCTTGCCGAGAACGAGGGCGATGGCCACTGGCCATGTCCACGAAGAGAAGCGGACTTGGCGGATTCGACGCGTCTGAGAACGTGTTGCTAGTACCCGAAAAAGAGTGTGACTCTGACGAGCTGTCAACATTGACCGTGCGAAAGGAGCCCAGACGTGCGTGCGTAGTTCCATCTCCCGAGTCGGCACGCGCGTTATGAGCGCCAACCCCAGCAAGGCCAGCCAGCAGGTCCTGGGCCTTGAAAGCCTCTTCGGGTGTCAAGGTCGGCAGAGCGTAGGGGTGGGGGGACCCAGCCCATGGAGAACCATCGCGTGGGACTATTCCGCCGCGAGTGTTACTCGTCGTGGGCAGAGTCTCGCAAGCCGGGGGGATTTGAATCGCTGACAGGCTGTATTCGCTACCACTCGTCGAAGCAGAGTCCGTGTGTCGTGTAATCGAGTGCGGCAGGACTTCGCGAAACGGGACGTTCGGCAGTCGTTTTGATGGCAAAGGTGGTCGACTGTTATTCAAGGCCACCGAGCCAGAAGCAGCCAAGGTGGATGCGCTCTGATAGTGTGCGCTCATGGCGTTGACCGATCGTGACAGCCTCAAACGCGATCCGATGGAGCGCCTGGTGCTCGGCTTCGGCGCATTTTGAGCTCCGTTCATCCTTGCTGCCGCCGCCCAGTGTGTGTTGAATGATGCGAAGATAAGGGCTCACGAGCATGTATGATGGAGTTTCAGCAGTAATGGATAAATACGCCTGGCAGATGAATGGAGTCGGGTGTCCGAGAGTTGCTATCTGTGGTTTGAGGGATATGTAGGCTGTAGAGGATGGGAGTTTGTGATGAGTGAAGAGCGGATCAGAGAACTTCAGTCTTACCAAATTGACGGCCAGTCCTCTTCGTGACAATGTCGCTAGGATAGCCTGAGCTGGTGCCTCTCACTATGACTCAAACACTGGCCGAGGAAGGACTTTCTCGTGATCCACACGGGCGGTCATGGCAGAAGAGCAGGGTCGTCCGTTGGCTTCGGCGGGGCATCTGTGCCGGGCGAGCCGGGCCATGGCTCGAGGCCGCACGCCGAATCCCGCACGACTTTGAGACTGCATTTCGTTTTGCTTGAGACTCCCGCGTACAAAGGTACACACCAAGACTTTGATCGGGGATGGGGATACAGACGCCAGGAGCAACGGTTTCAGATGTAGGTACGCTATCCAAGATCAACGGCTGCCTGCGAGCATGCATATATGCAGCTGGCCGTTGAGGTCGAGACGCGCAGCTGCCTCGCGCTGCGCTGCATGATGGTGTTTGCCTGTTTGGACGTCGGAGGGCACGTGACTTGGATCGCGCGTAGAATCTTGAATGACGGGCGCGTCGTGCGTGCATGTCACCACGCTAGCTCCGTGGTGAAACGAGCCGCTCTTGACGCGAGAACAGCCATCCCATAATTGTGATAACCACGACTGACTCCGCCCAACACGCGAAAACAGCTGGCTATCGCTCATATGAGCAATTGTCTGCCATAGCAACTCACGATTCACGACTTTGACACCCATTGCTACCATCGAGAAGCCTCACTTCACGCAAGCACTCAAGTGTCTGACTGTACGCGATGAAATTCGCATATATGGCACCTTGAGTCTTGCGCAATCTTGCGCAACGCCCCGCCGCACATTCCATTTACTTCACTCAGACTGTGACTGACCGCGCAACCGCCCCCCGCAGACATGGCGTATATTTCAGCACCCATGGCGCGAGACCGTCCTCGACTCGCCACAAACTCTGGCTGAAGCATTTGTTCGGCTCGCCACGATCGATCGAGAAGTGACACGAACGCGCGATGAATGGCAACGAAGCAGCTTGTCCACGACGCACCTGTTCCGTGTCTTTGCCAGCGCTGTGTCCTCCTTGATCTCGCTCAAGGGTCACAGCTAAACCGCTTGATTTGTCAACGGTAGCCCAACAAGATTCAAATTTGCCCCGCATGTTGTTCAATGTCACGGGCGCATTGCGAAGAGCTACATCGCTGGTAGGAAGGTAGCCAGCAGGCTCACGCATCGTAATCACCCTTGTCATGCATCGTTAAGACGATATAGGTGGCGTCGTGAGTGGCAAGTTGGGATAATGTTGGGTGGCTGCATGCATGCTTTTGTCAAATGATTACAGCCGTGAGTAGTGCATCAAGGCAAGCACACGGACACGTTCCTTACAGCAACGCGGATGCCCTCGAGAAGCTCGCCACCTAGCCGCTGCTTTGTTTTATAGTGACTATGAGAGTAGCATGTCCCGGTGTCTCAAAAGGGTCCCTAGAGCTAGCACACTTCCAGTCGATTCCCTTTCGACCTTCTTCTCTTCTCTTCTAGCTTGAACCAGCCGGCCTGAGTCACGCTCGTCTTTTGCTCCAACTTTCGGAGCACCTCCCTAATCCTTTTCGGCATTTGCTCGCAAATCTCGGCGGCATTCCACGACTTGAAAATCGCAGAGACACGCAAAGCCATCGTCACCTTCTCTCGGCGCAGCAGGACCGCAATGCGGCGGATTTTGCTAGCTCTTTGCTTTGCTGCCCACAGCATTGGCTTGCGGGCATGCGGAGCATCAGCGGTTTCAGCGCAGGTGAGTATCAGTCCTTTCGCTGCAGGTATATCGAAGGAAATGCTCACGTTTAGAATGCGCTTTCGTTAGGAGGTCGGAACCCGTGCAGATAATCTTCGTTCCAGAGCCATAGCACGGCTCGGCATTCACCCGCAGGATGGGCGGGCTAGTGCGCGTACTGCAGTCGTTCCTCTCGAGCGCAGGGCTCCTTTGAAAGCTCCTCTAGAAATCGCTACGACCGTAGCAAAGGACAAGGTGCCCACTGGTACAGCAGCGGACAAAGCCAAAGACGGCGCAAGCTCTTCGTCGGCAGAGGCACTGCAAAGCATTTCAGCGCTTGGGGAAGAAAAGACTATGGGCCGTGCGCGTTTGCCAGATGGTCAGGGCTCGGCACGCACGTTGTCACGCCAGAGGTATCGTGCAAAGCAGGAGCGCAGGCCTTACCTTGGCCCTGACAGAGGAAAGCGGCTGGGTCGACCTGCGAAATTAGACATCGGTCAAGGCTCATCGTCAACCCTCTTCAGACAAAAACGAGCAATGAAAGAAGCCGCCGCGAAGCAGATTGCGCTTGAAGCAGGAGACAGTGCTGCTCTGGCACGGCAAGAGGCTCATCAGAAAGCTTTGTATCAGCAGAATAAGGTAACCGTCGCAACCAGCCGTCAACGCTCAAGACTTAGGGTGCGGGGCTGGAGCGAAATGCGAATCTGGCGAACTTTACCTGGAGATCCAAGAAGAGCATCGAATGAAATCAAAGAGAGGCTGGATGCAGAGATCAAAGCAGCGAACGCTGATCCACACGAATTCTACCCGGAAACCACCAATGACCGCGTTGGCGAGAATGCTCTGACCACTGCCCGCCAAAGACTACGCATGAAGGGCATCAAGGAGGACGCAATCTTCCAACAGTATCCGGGAAAGACACCTTTGGACCGTCCACGTAGAGGCCGACCTCCCGTATACAAAGGGCCCGGCCAAGTTCCGGCGAAATTCCAGCCAGGGCGATACGTGCGTGTCGGTGGAACATCTCGCGTGTCAGATTCTGCCCTGTCGCTGCTCACCGCGAGCGGTGCTGCGCCGCAAGTAGGTTCTTTGGGGCGGGCTGCTCCGAGCAACTCAGCCAATCACGTGAATGTCGCATCGTCCGAGACACCTCACAGAATGCACGATTTTGACCTCAATCTTCCACCGCCTGAGGACTAGGCCGTGGGGCGAAGGTGGGAAGCTCTACAAGCACAACTAATTGGAAGCTTTACTGCGCTTCACTTCCCTGCTTATGCCCGATAGCCTTTGTCCCACGGCTGTCGTTGCTGCGCGGTGTTCCTCGCGATACATGTCTTCAGCCGAAATATGATTCGTCTATCTCCATGAACGCAGAGGACGGTCGCTCAATTAAGTCTCTCGACGAAGATGCCTGACTGGTGTGAATGTCTGCGTCATGCGTACGATCAATGGACGTCAGATGCTGTCAGTGTGGCCTACACCGGCTGCACGCTTAGTGATTGCAGAGAGGCCGCGCCTCTTCTCGCACGATATCTACCCGCGAGCTGTCTTTGCATGCATATTTGAAGCACGATGCTGCGAAGGACACAAACATCACAACCTCACGACTGCCAAGGTCAACACTGCTCCTTTCGCTCGAGAAGCACTCACTAATCAGAGGCCTCGTTCATCGCAGGTTTCCTCCCCTTATTGAGAATCCATTGGCTCTCGCAAGTCATTTCTTTTGAGCCAGTCTTCAAGGGCATCACCACTTGGAGGCCATGCACGCCGTCCCGCTTTCAAGCGGACCTGGATCCGCCGTCCGCTTCGCCACCCTCCTGAGCCAGTCTGCGACACAAGCTTCCAGAACCTCGAGATGCGCATACTGCGGACAATCATCTGTGCCGACTCGAGGCAGCTGCAGAGGCAATGTCTCCACACAGGCTGCATTTGTCCCCAGCTCCAAGAGGACATTCTTCTCAAGGGCTGCGGGTGAGCCAAAGAGGGAAATGGTCTACGCGAGACTCTCGCTTAGTAGTGCGAGCATCAATGTATGGACATCTGGACAAATCCGCTCGATCTCAGGCTCCACTCGTGTCCTCTCTGGCTCGAATAAATGGTCAAAGATTCGCCACAAGAAGGGCGCGAAGGATTTAGAAAGAGGCACGGTCTACTCTGCCATCTCGAGAGAGATCCTTGCTAGTGTGCGTCAGCATCCAACGCGCTCGTGTGATCCTAACACCAACGCGAGGCTTGCAAGCTTGCTGAGGAAAGCCAAGGATAACGGCGTGCCAAAGGACAGGGTCACTGCTACGCTCGAAAAGGCGAACGGGGTCGCGGCGGGGAGCATGCACTCGGTCACGTACGAAGCTCTTGGACCCCCAAACAAGGCAGGAGTGCCGGTAGCACTGGTCATGTGAGTGTAGCAGCTAAGCAAATAGCGCTGCTGTGCCCCGAGGGCCATCAAAGCTTGGTGCAAGCTTCAAAGCTGAGGCCAAGTCGCGCCTTTTTGGAATGCTCAACACAGAGAATGTCTTACGGACTCTGTCCCGCGCACGCTCGCGAAGGTCAAGGAGTTGATGAACCGAGCAAATGCGCGGCTCAGCTCTACAGCTCACCTATTCAATCGCGTAGGGCGAATGCGGATCCTGCCTGGTCTTGCAGACGGCTCAGACAGCAGACGATCCTTTGATCAGGTGTTTGACGTTGCGGTGGAAGCGGGGGCCACGGACGTGCGTGTCATGGAAGCAGATGAGATTGATGAGGAGTTGGAGAATACCATGAGCTCAGAGGCCGGCGCGAGCTCGAGCGATGTGCTGCCAATCGAGATCGACTGCGACCCAGCCGAGCTGTACGCGCTGAGTCAGACGCTTGCGGGCACAGATCAAGTGCTAAGCGCCGAGACAGTGCTCCTGAGCTCAGGTCCACCCATTCGCTTCCGTTCAGAGGAGGAAGAGGCTACCCATAGCGACACGACTGCAAGCGACGAAGACGCGGCTGGCTATCTCAACGAGTCCGACGTCGAGAAGCTGGACAAACTGCTGGCTGCCCTAGAGGACAGCGCGGATGCCCAGCGAGTATGGTGAGTGTTCATCGTGCTCTCGTCTGATCGGATGCCTTTGTTTTCCATTCATCCGTTCGTTGGCCAGCAAAGCCTATCGTCCGGCGGCCTTCTGATTGCAGTCGCTGCCAAGCAAAGTCCGGACGTAAAGCATTTCTCCTTGAGCACACAAAGCTGAATGTCCGACACTGCCTTGCTTTGATGCAGGAGTAATCTTGATGGATGGCCCTCGCGGTGAGACAGTTCAAGCTCTCAGAGCGATTCAAAGGAGGCTGTCGGAGCATAGAGCCATTTCCTTGATGTGTTTCACATCGCATGTCAAGCCCACACATACACACACATGTAAAGGAAAGACGGCTTCGATAAGACGATGTATGACATTTGTCGAAGATATGAGATGGCTACAAAGAATGACTACGAGACACTTGCGAGCTCGTGATTCGTAACGACACGGTGCCGGTCCTTCGGCTGCTCTAGGCGAGCTGAAAGCGTATAGAGGCAGATATAGGTGACAGATTGCTGGAAAGATGCTAAGGTTGCGATGTGAAGGAGCCAGTATGCAGTGGACATTGATACGAGACGTCAAGAATGAGGAGCGCGGGTGGTCTGGATCTTCAAGAATGGTTGACCCACGCTCCGAAGGCATTGGTCTGATGCTCGTGTCCGTGAGGAGCGAGCTGAAGTCCCTGGTGTGCATGACTGTGCTGGGTTTGTTGGTGGAACATGGCTTCAGAGGGGTGGTGGAATGCCTCTTGGGCCTTGTGCATCACTGGTGCGGCGCCCGGGAAAGGAACGGACTGGGTCTTGGGACTGGGCGTAGCAGGGCCGCAGGAGGAGTCGAGCGATGCATCAAAGGTCATGTCGGCGCTGGTAGGTGGTGCCTGACCTTGCTGGCTATATGCATGAGTCCAGTGTCCAGCGGGCTGTTGTGGCCGAACAGGTGACCAGGCTCCTTGACGTCCGTCGCCAGGCATATCCACTCCTTGTAAGCCAAGGGCACCGTGTTGCATCGACATCGACTGTTGTTGTTGTTGTTGTTGTTGTTGTTGTTGTTGTTGCTGCTGCTGCTGCTGCTGCTGCAGCGAGTCGTTCTGCTGGCCGGGCCTGTATGCTGGATAGGCAAACATGTTGGCGTTGTTAACGCCGGCATTGACATTGGCGACGGCTGCTGCCGCAGCAGCACCGTGTCGGTCGTGGTGATCCTGCGAGCCCTCGTAGCCGGAGAACGGCTGAGCCGCTGACGGGCTGTGTGGGTAGAGTTGGGGATGCGAGAGCTGCGGTGCTGACATGTACCCTTGGTGATCCTTGCCATCCACCATCGCGTTTGCGGCGTTCGCGTGCTGCTGAGCTGCTTGCAAGAATGATGGATCCATGAGCTGCGAGTGCGCTGTGACTGGGGTAATGAGACCGTTGACCTGTTGGTAAGAGTTGTGCGCTGCGCCATATCCACTGGCCGCGGCTGCCGCTGCTGCAACAGAGGCAGCGGCGGCTTGCTGCTTTTGGTACGAGAGGTTGATGCCATCGGGCATAGCCCATGGCTGCGACGATGTGTACGCATTGTTGCCCAAATTGCCCGCGGAGTGAGGCCGTTGTGCTTCGATGGTGTTCTCGATGGGGCCTAGAGTAGTGCGTGTGGCGAGTGTCGGGCGTTTGGCGGGACGCGAGGTGCCGAAAGCCGCCGACGCTGATGCGGTGCGACTAAGACCGACGGATGATGGTAATGGTCGCTTCTTGCTGGCAATCAGGCGAGCACCCGGAACACCGTCGTCATTTTCGTCGCCAGGTGAATTGGAGCGAGCGGCATCTGAGTCGACGGCTTGATCGTCGTCGTTCCAACCTTGGGAAGTGCTGACACCAACGGTGATGGAAGTGTCGATGTCGAGATTTTCTTCGCGCATGCGCTCTTCCTCTCTCGCGATGCGGTAGACATCCATGAGGAGACTGACTCTGTCCGCTCGGATCAGAGCGACGACTTCGGCAGTCGCGAGCTGTAGACGGGCGACCTTGATCTTGGGGCTGCGAAGAATGGTGAGCAAAAGCAGATGTCTTTCAGGCTTCATCAGGTGATCGGGTTCCTTGTGTCGGACACCCTCTGGCCACCAGGTCGGCTTGCCTTCTTCGCCTTTGTTGTAGGGACAGCGTGTCTGCTTCTTGGGCTCGATGATCTTGATCCAGGCTTTTGCGACGGTCTTGCACATGCCTTGCTGGAGCTGGCTGAATCTCAATTCGAGGAATGCGGTTCGAGCAGCAGCGTTCTCGAGGCGAACATTGACCAGAGCCTGACTTGAAGCGGACGATGGCAGGCGAGATGACGTGGTTCGCAGAGGTAGCCGCGGTGTAGATGATTGAGGCCCGTCTTCGTGAGAGAGCAACGGCGCAGAATGCGGAACTTCGAGGTCGAAGGCGTCGCGTCCACCGTTGAGCGATCTGACGAAAGCGTCGTTGGCGCCAGCAGTGTCCAAGGGGGCAATGTGCTTGCGCTTAAGAGAAAGCGATCCGCTAGCGGCCGTGTTGCTTCTTCCGAGGTTTGGTCGGAGATCGATCCTGTCCTGAAAGGCTGCCATCGACGAGGAGGGACCGTCAAGGAAGACGTCCGTCATGTCTGACTGTTGGTGACGCAGTGGACTTGGATCCTCTACATCGTCTGCGTCGCTCTGGTCGGAGGCATCGTCGTCGCCGGCGTTGCTACCGTTGCCATCTTGCTCAAAAGGGTTGGTGCGCGGGGCATCCTTGCTACCCATGACGAGAGACTTGCCTTCTTCAGCGATGCCGCTTTGGATGAACCAATCGTCCAATCGATTCTGGAGAGCTTCGCTTGCGTACGTCTCGACGTCTCCGCGCGCCGAGACCCACATGATGGCAAAGTGACTGCCATTGATGTAAGCCGCTTTGCCGAGTGCGCGGAGTACTTGATCGCGCTTGTTCTTGAAGTGACGATGTTGCCTGGACGGTGAGGTGTATGGCTCGACGCGCACTGGAATGCGCGGCATGATGACGGAATCTAATGTGGAGTAAGATCAAGACGAATGTTGCATCGATCGCAAAGACGATGAGACGAGGATGTCACGTGGTGGTGGAAAGGCGATGACAAGGCCCACGTCTTGGTCAAGAAGGATATGCAGACTGGTGAAATGATGTACGGTGGCTGGTGTGAGCGATGGATGGTAGAAGAATATGGAGATGAGATAGGATGAGATGGAGGGAGCACACAGTATGGGATGGAGATGGGAAGAGGTGGTTCATGATTCGAGATGGGTCAGCTTTTGAGCATAGTCGCTTTGACTTTTGCCGTCCGTTGGGGACCGTTGGGAAACGGTAGGAACCGTTGTGGCTGACCGTCGATTAGCGGTCTGGTGGCTCGAAGCGCTGACTCGCAGAGTGTACGTGTGAAGCCAAGGTCAAGGAGCTGGCCTTCATCCATTCAGATTCTGGCAACATGCCCCCCGATCGCCCTGATGCATTGTGCTTCGATCCAGCTGCGATCGAGGCTCGCGCTACGGCAGGCCATTCTCGGCTTAGGTCTTGCGAGCAGACCGAACTTGGGGGAGAAAATAGCAAACGGGCAAATTCCCGAGCTCTCTCTCCATGGTGTTGACAAGCTTCACAGAGAGAAATATGAGCGCCTCACAACACCGATGTGGCTGCTCGTGTCAGGGGGCCTTGCGGTCTTGATGGGCCCTAAGTCTGGAGCGAGAGGTGCTCGCAAAGTTCAAGCGACGACCAGCGGCGGGCGAATCGTCGTGGAATGCGTGCGAGCATCGACGCTAAGAGGAATGTTGCCCGTGGCGCAGCCGCGCGAGAAATCGTGCGTGGTGCAGCGGGACACTGCAGACCTTCGACCATCGAGGCGGGCGAACCAGATCGGCGCGCAGAGCGAGCGACTTCCAATAAGTCTTTGCGAGTCGTGAGTGTTGTTCTGTCTCGCTTCTGCCCGACTTACCTCTCGAGTGCGAGCGATTGTAGCGAAGCGCAGGGAGTAGGCTGCTGCGTTGCTGTGAAGCTGACTCCTCACAGTGCGTGCGGTGAGCGAGAGCCTGTGGCAGCCATGCAGCATCCAGCAGGCAACGGTCACACACCGAAGTGGCGCCAGCAGCTTGTTTGCCAGCATCGCTTGCGCGAAGCGTGTGAAACTGGCGGACTTCGGAACATCAAATCTTATGAGAGCGTGCCAGCGCCAACGCCAGCAGCATGCAGCACCAGCATCAGCATGCAGCGCTTTCTCGCTGCAGCTCCGCTCCGCCTGGCGCGCGCCTCATGCTTGCGTTGGCTCGCAAGCCGCAGCCAGGGCAAGTTGAGGTGGAAAAGTGCCGCATCGTGCCTTGCAACACTTCAGCAAAACCTCGCATGCGCATCCATGATGCATGATGCAGAATGACCTGCATGACCCGCCCGCCCGTGACCCGCCCCGGCAAACGAGCTCTCCGCGCGTCCCGTGCTCCCCACATTTGAGATCTGACAGACCGCGGGCCCATGCAGCGAGGGAGCAGCAGCAGCAGCGAGCGCCCTCTTCAGCCCTTCGCAGATGCTGCTGCTGTAGCTGGGGGTCCGATCACTCCGCTCCGAGCGATATCTATCGGCTCTGCCCTTACCGCGCCGTGTTTTGCGCGCCGACGGATGCCGCAACCACAGAAGTCCAAGCTCGACATGCGCTAAGTGGTCAATTAGACCCTGAGAAGCGACCACCTGTCCATTTAGAGACTGTGACTGCAGCGCTTTGGACGCCATCCAGTCATGGCAAAGAGTCATCACCCACCACTCACGATGACTTGCGAGTTGAGAAGCAAAGACGCCGCCTAATCGCTCGGTCGTGGGTACGAGCACAGCCAAGCTGTGAAGCGGGCGGCAGGTCACGACGACCATCAAGCTCGCAAGCCATCCTCCCACACAAATTTCTCATGGTGTGCGCGGACCAACGCAAGATGGCAGAGGCTTTCTGCACGCTTGGCTGCGACCTTGCAAGCTGAACGTCGCACATTCAACCATCCGCTTCGTACAGCGCGATCACTCCGCTGGCGCAGGCATCTCGCGCCCGGCGGCGGCGCCTGCTGAGTGAAAGGTTTTGCGATCAGCGATAAGACGCGACCAGCTCACGGCGTCACTGACTGGGCCTTTGGTGAGGACGAGGTGCGACGCATGCAATCATAGAGGTTCAGAAACCATATCGCCACATGCTCGATACTGCATCAAGACTCAAGATTTTGGATTTGCGGTCCGGATAAGAAGGGTTAGAAGGGGAGGACAAGATCGGAGCGCCGCCTTTGAAGCGGAGCATCGATTTTGAGGAAGCGCCAGGTGCAATTACGCGCGTGCTGACAACAGTGGCTTGCTTGCTAGGCCTCTAGGCGTCCACCTGTGGTTCGAAACGTTTGTCAGGTCTTCATCTCTGAAGCGGTGCTACGACATCCACTACATCTGCTGACTCCCTCGATCACCATTCAAATGAAAAGATGGCATTCACGCATTTGAAACGCTTTCAAGCACGTTTCCATGCGCAGCACGCTCAATAACTCAGCCTCACAAGCGTTCCTACACCTCCTAATCCAGAAAGGCAAAGTTCGCTGCCCTTCATTCGGAGATCATTACAGCCCCTTGCATGCTGTGTTTTCAATTTCAAGGTCTAGGCAATCATGAATGTGTCATCCGATTTTAAGGTCTAGACAACATGTCAGCATCGCGTATGCCGCAGCTCCGATGAGTTGCAAGAGGTGTTCGAGCAACAAGACATGTTAGTCAGAAACAAAGTAAAAAGAGCCTGGAATAGAGGCCCAAGCTCCTGACGCCCTCCGCCTCCGAGTCCGACGAAGAGGAATGATGGCAAAAGGCTCTTCTATGAGGCAGGCACGAGTCTTGATGAGCTTGCGTCTGGCATGCCTTGCGCTTGCGTCTCTGACACATCGTCGAGTCGATTGGAGAAGCCCAGCAGAGAGCCACGCTCGACTTGAGGGACGAATCTTGACCGTCTCTGCTCGCGACGCGATGCGCTCCGCGCGGGCCTCAGAACCTTCCATGGGAGCCCGAAACCGAACTTCAAATGTGCCGAGCGTGGGAGCCCGCCCCTGTTCGGTAGCCAAATTTTGATCCGCGCCTCTTGCACGGGCTCAGGCATGTGTCGTGTGGTTGCTGCCATCGTCATCGCTGCAGCGCGTTGGATCTGAGTTCGGAGTGCGCGTTAGAAGAGTCATGCGGGGCAAACAGTGTCACTCCGCCGCCCCTGCCTGCCTTCCTTTCTCTTTTTTTTTTGTCGCACGCAGCATTCGCGATTGAGTTTGGAATCGCAGTCGTGATGACAACATACAAGATACTAGACCGCAATAGCAAGTGGAGAGCACAATGATACTACTCGAGTCGGATCGCCGCTGTAAAAAGATGTTGCTCTTGCTCATCAAGTACGGCGAAAGCAGCGTTTCGCTGAAGCGAGCATCCTGGCGCATCGAAGAGCAGCGCTGAAGATCGAGGATCGTTTCTGAGCAAGAAGCCATCAGCGAGGCTCTTGTCAGCGTGCAGCTTCATGGGAGGAGTCGTTGGCAAGCAACCCAGTGAGCAAGTCGTATCTCTGCAAGGCCGATGCCAGGTGAGCCCGTGGTGGGCCCTCTAGTCTCTTAGCCCAAGTCTCACGGCTGGAATGCTCGGCGGACTCTGAGCGGCTGCTCAATGCTAAATTGGCGTTCGGCAGCCAAGCTTGCGGACTTTTGACTAATCGGTTCAGACCGCAGCACGACAACACAGACGACCCAATTGCCCACACGAGCTCCGCGCGGAAGGCGCGGCGACCAGCATTATTATTAGCATTCCATCGAGAGCAAACGCCGCAGAGAGAAAGGGTGAGTCCGTGCTCAATGCGAAATGGAGCGGCATGGACATAGGAGCGGATGTGGCATTGGACAACAAAAGTCTTCGGCTCCGAGCGCTCTTCGCCACTCTTGACCCCTTGCTTGATCTAGCCTTCCATCAGGCTCTTTCGACGAGCCCAACCGGCGGATTAATTGCTACTCTCTGTAATTAATTACCACACAAAATGCAGTCGTTACGACTGCATGCGAAGAAGGTGCGCGATGACTTTCCTGTGGCTTGTCGTGCAGGCTGTGAAGCGGGCGAACCTTGTGGGCGGTGAGAATTATGGATATTTCTCCTTCGGCTACGCGGGTCTTTTTGGTGGACAGAAGAGTCGCTCAGTTGACGAAGGTAAGGTCATGCATCAGCGACCCTCGAGCACCTAGGCAGAACGCTAACGGCGCGGTCTGGTGCGCGACGCACCAAGAGTTGCACGAAAGAGGATGCGAAAACGCGTCGGCATCAAGATGCCCATCATCGTGATGCTGTCGCCATCAATTCCTATGCTGTGCTTTGAGCGAGGTGGCAGACCGGTAACGACTGACACCAAAGCTGGAAGGGCACTCTGATGCAGAGCACAGACATGATGTTCGTCTCGAAGAGACGACGTGTATCGCAGCAGTCATCAGAAAGAGTGCCGACGCGCTCGACAGGCTCGCAAGTGTATCGAGGAATCTCGGATGGAGATGCCCGCATTACGTAGCCGCTGGCTTCTGCACGCTCAGCTTCTTCTCATAATCGTGTTTCTCTGAACGATAAGCTCGATGAAAGGTGGTGTGCTTTCGTCACGAAAGTACCTATTTCCGCAACGCACAGATGCCGCGAGATGCCGACGTACTTTTGCACCAGCAGCAAGGGTTCACCTTTGCGGAATTCAAGACGTGGGGAAAGGTGCCGCAGGATTAAGATCTGAGGTGGGCACGCACGGTCTCGATGCACTGCCGTCATCTCAGCGCAGCAGCCTCTTGCGAGCACAAGCACCAAGCTCGAGAGCAGTCAAAAGTAGTGATGCGGTGTGGTGCGAGATCTACGTCGGCTTCTCTATGAGCCGGCATCCGACCTTCTGCAGCGTACGCCTATAGCTGCACACAACAGCATCAGCACCAGAATCGTGAGTGTTGTGCTCACGACTCGTCGTGACTGCACGGTCGGCAGTACGGTACCGTACCGTACCACATGCCATGCAGCAGCATGCAGAAGGGGTGCAATGAAGGAGCGCCACGCGCCGAGACGCAAGCTCTGCGCAGAAGGAAGAAGACGTGTGGCTTGGCCCGCATGCGTGAATATGTACCAGGAGCAGCAGCAACGCGACTTGTACCAGTGACGGCTCCGTATTCACGACCGGACACATGACCGATCGTGGCCCAGCAGTATAAAAACAAATATGCAACTTGCTCAAAGGCATCGGTCAAGATGGCCAATCCCATCAAACGGCAGTTTCTTATCGTGCAGACACGGCGCACCCACGATGGTGTGCACGATCTGCAGACAGGCCAGCCACGAAACCTCGCGCGCTGATCGCCAACCTTGTAGCAAAGAGCGTGGGAGCTTTTTTGCGCTTCCTGTTCTGACTGGCCGTTCAAAAGGTTGCTCCGAAGCGCTCGAGCGGCAATAGTATTATTACAGGTGTGCCTAACTTCGCTACTTTGGCTGTCACCGCAATAATGACTCTGCACAGCTCGGAGCAAATCGATGTGCCTGGTGTCGGAGCTCGTCTGCAATCTCCACTCTGACTGCTTCCCAAAGAGCATCGGCGTCCGGAGCAGGGTCATGAGAAAAGAGCAACAAGGCTGTTGTGTGGTCAGTCACGAGTAGCGCCGAGCAGGATGTGCCCAAGCCACGTCGCTTTTCTCAAGCCTCTTCTTGGACTAGAGAACGCCTTTTATTACATGCGGACCCCTCTCCTCGCATGAGCTATGCTTCGCCGCCACCATCACCACTACTACCGCAACCGTCTACTCGTTCGAAGCCAAATTAAAATCCAATCATGTGATGGGATTGTCTTCGAAATCTCTTCATGCACTCATCGCCACCACCACCAGTTGACCCGACATTCTGTGGACTGACTTTTGCTTGTTTGGGTTGTCGTGGCGCGTGTCTGGGAAAAAGTCTACGGTGCTGATACGACGAGGCTCGGAGCGCGAGGTCTTGGTAAAGTGAGCGAGTGAGGGACGACTCGGTAGCGCAGAGCTCGTTGCATTCGTCTCGGTCGAGCTGGCAAACCGTTGAAATGCGCCAAGAGTGTTCAGAAGCAGCATTCTCGCGCGCACGAAAGCTCATTGCGGATGACGACTCCGTCGCTGCGGGCTCGCACTCGCGAGAAGCGCTGTTCAGCGATCACCTCCATGACACACGGTCTACACAGGACGCGGCTTCCCGGAGCGAGCTCGCAGCCCAGCACATCATATGGTAAAAGCATGGATTGGATGCGACTCAACGGTGTGGAGGCTCGACACGTGACTATAGCTCGATGTTGCGCAAGGCTTCCAAATTCTTGTTCATGATGTCTTGTTGCTTCTTGAGCTCGGCCTGTTTGGTGAGCTTGGAGATGTTGAATTGCTTCATACGTTTAGCCAAGCTCCTCGGCGGGCTCAGCTCTCTCTCCATTAAAAGCTCGATGGGCCAAGCGTCGATCTCATCCTTTCCAGCGATGCCAATTCTGATCCCGTTTTCGTTCCTTTCGCCAGCTTGAAAAGGCGTCTTGTCTGGTATCCATCTCCATTGCGCCCCATTTGCCACCGGCCCGTCCAACGGTGCTACGCTGTGGTAGTCTGACGACGCGAAGCTTCTTCCTTCAGACATGTCCGGGTGTTCCGAGGCCCATTTTCTCTGCGCTGCTTGGCGGAGCGTGACAGCTTCCGCTGGAGTAGGAGCCTGTGCCACAGGTGGAGGGCCTTGCCTAATAGGCAAATAGGGTGCATAGCCGGGTTTTCTTAGAATCCGCGGCTGCGTCTCTCGAATTGCTTTCTGGGCGCGCAACATTGCTTCAGACTGAGGTGACGTTCGCCATGTATGCCGCGAGATATGAATGGGATTAGTGGGATACCAGGGAATCCATGATTCCGACTTCACTGCATCACTGGCAGTGGTGAGATCTTGCAAGACTGGCGTAGAGGATGGCATTTCATGTTAGGCCAGATTGCGCAACGGCGCTGGGCTTTCAAGCGTCTAATGCACGCATGACACCTACTGATACGGGGAGCATTCTTGTTAGGAGGCCAAGGTACCTGCAATTTGACGTTTGTGCCATCTTTGGCCTTGACGGTTGCGAACCTTTTCCACGTGAACTGATGCAGCTTTTTGTTCCACTTAGCGCCAGTGCCTGAAATGCGGGTGGCGACGCGGCTGCAAGAACGCGGCCGTCCAGTTTGACGTTCAGTCTGCCAGCAAGGTCAATAGCGCTTCGTGTCCAAAGCCGACTCACCCTTCTTTCAGCTCGTCCATCGTGATTCCGCATCCCGCTGGAAGGTCCATCTCTTGCGGGAGGACGAGCTGCAGATTGCTGATATGCACTGGCCTGTTGATCTGAAACGTGTTGTTTGACCATACAACTTGCCCGTCCTCTCCCATCTGGCGAGGTACGATGCGCTTCTCACTTGTCGCTGGGTTGTCCCCCGGGTTGTCCTGGTGTTGGGGTCCACATCAGACGAGGAAATTAGCCGTTGATAGCTCAAAACATAACACATACGGTACGCAACACGAAAACAGCATACATGCACCAGCAGCTCGCTCAAGAAGCTGTAATTTGAGCCGTTCGAGTGCAACACTGAAACTTACAACGTTCGCGAGCCAAGCCAAGTTCCTCGTCCTGTCGATTTGCTTCACGGTGGCCTGACCTTTCCACAATTCCGCGCTTCCCTCTTTTGCAAGCTTGACACCGGTCCTATATCTGACCACATCTCCAGGAACAATGTTCCACAATTTGATCCTGTCCTTCGGCTGCACGTAGTTGTTGTTGCCCCTTGCTCTAGCTGGGAGCATCCTGTCCGCAAACTTTCCTTTCCATCCCTTCTGACCGGGTAGCATGTGATCCAGATTGCGCAGCGCGACAATAGCCGTCTTCGTGCCGCGCTTGAAGCGCTGGTCCAGCTCCTTGGCGGTGAGTCTGGGCACTGCCATGTTTCGGTGAAGTCAGTGGGGGAACTTTCAAGGTGCAGACTAAGAGCTGTTGAAAGCGATCTTTGCTGTCCAGCGTTGAGGAGAGGAGGAGAGCTCTGGAGGGTCGGCAAAGTACGGGCAGTCAGTGCGCTGCCAGAGTGAGAAAGACTGACCGAACGCCGTGAGCGCGCTTGAATAGGCGCACCAATAGCGATCAAAGGCTCGGCGGCTGCCGTGAGTGGTGATTGAATGTGTAGATTTGATGAGAGGAGGCAAGCAGAGACCATGAGCTAAGAATAATCAAGAATTTGGATGTGAATCGTCGGGCGCACAAAACGGTCTTCTCGCACACCTGCGCGCGCGCGCGAGAAACGCAGATCACGTGGGATCACGTGACTGGCCGTACTGGCGACCCTATATAATTTGACTTCAAGACTTTTGAATCTCGAGATTTGCATTTGTGATTTGTGGTTTGTGATTTGTGAATCAGATTCATCAAGATTTCGATTTTTTAGCCAAGAGTAGACTCGCGACTCAGAACTGACCGAGACTTGCTTTGACTCAGACTCGTGACTGGTAGCCACGCAAAAGTCGCAACTCGCGGCTCGATCAAAAGAGTCAAGAGTCAGATTTGTGGGTTAGCATCATCAGTAGTAGTTCCAGCTTAGCGGCTCACAGCTCCTGCTTTCATTCTCATCTCGACGAGCGCTCCCCTCATTGATTCAATCAGACGTGTGGTTGCCCATTGGATGCGGAGCCAAGACTCTAGCCATAGCGCCTACAAATTCTCGCCATATTCGACTTCTGACTGAACAACATGAGCGACCAGGAGCAAGACTGGCCTAGCTTGCCAGGCGCAGGCGCTTCTCGCTCAAGCATCGGAAACGAGGATGCCTCATCTGGCCCGAGCAGACCAACCCCAACAACGGAGGCCCAGCCGTCGACTTCACAAACATATTCGATTGACCAAAAACCAACTCTGCGCGCCCCGCCTACAACGATGGCTACCGCGGCAGTGAACCATCGCAGCATCGAGATATTGGTGCTGGACACTTCGGCGTTGCTCAGCACACCTGCATCTCAACTTGCCAATCTTGCCTCCCGCATGGTCATACCACGCGTTGTGCTAGCCGAATTGGGCGAAGCTCGCTCTAGGGCCGATTTGGAGATCCTTACGCTGAGGGGCGTCGAAGTGGACATTACAGAGCCAGATGCCAAGGATCTGGTAGCTGTGAGGAACTTTGCGAAACAGACCGGAGATTTGTCTTCCCTCAGTCAGGCAGATCTGAGCGTGCTCGCGGTGCTGTACGGAACGGAGACAGCTCGACACGGGCAATGGAGACTTCGCGACAAGGTGGGAGGACTAACGGGCCAGCAGGCTCACGATGCAAGCAGACTGGCCCAGGCGAGAGCGCAGCAGGCCAAGCCAGTGGATGTGCCCGCCTCGTCGGCCAAGGACGCAGTTGCAGCAGAGCCCGTTGCACCTGCAGCAGCTTCCGCATCAGCTGCACCGCTTGCTCCCAGGTCCATCGTCGAGCCACATAGCAATGAAAGGGCAGAGGAGTCCAAGCGTTCAGACCTTATTGCAGAGTCATCTTCATCCGATCGCCAGGCTCAGGCTGCCTCTTTGGATCTTCAAGGTTCTCGCGAGGACGCAGAAGGTGAATGGATCACCCCACGCCCTCTTAGGGAAGTGCAAGAGGAAGAAGCGTCGGATGAAGAGGAATCCGACCTTGGAGGCTCTGATGGCGAGGGAGAGTGGATCACACCCATCAACGTAAAGGCGCATAGAGCCAAAGCCTTGGGATTTGCGGCTGATGCGGATCTGATCACTCGAGAGGAGGCGGAGGCCAATGACGCAGTGGAAGGTGACAAAGGGGCAGGGGAAGAGCAGGACGACGCAGGCTTCGAGGAGCCCAGAAAACGTCGCAACCGCATGCAAAAACCTGAAGCTGGTGGGTCAATGGCGACAGCAACGACGGCCAGCGGCAAAAAGTCGAAGAAGGCAGCGGGAAAAATGACGGTTGCTGGCATGACGGGCGATTACGCGATGCAAAATGTGATGCTGCAAATGGGCTTGGCGCTTGCCAGTTACGAAGGACACAGGATGAAGAGCGTGAAGAGCTGGGCTCTGAGATGCCACGCATGCACCAAGTGAGTCTGCGGGATACAGCACCACGACTGCTCAACATCAGTGACTGCTAGGCTGACGCATCACGACCATCTGGTCCTATCCATGAACATGCAGAATCTGCAAGAACACGGAAGAGAAGTTCTGCCCTTCTTGTGGGAATGCGACGCTGCTGAGAGTTTCGGTGCGCACGAATGCACCGGAGAAAGGAGGAGGAGAAGTGATCGAGATCAACACTTCTCGTCAGTTGCGTCTTCGAGGATCGCGGTACTCGCTTCCTATGCCTAAGCCTTCACGGGCGGGAGGACCACGAGGAGCCAATGCGCCAAGCAGCGGAGGTGCGCCAATCCTCCGAGCCGATCAGCAAGAATGGATCAAGGCGCTTTCGAAGGAGAAGGGAAGGCAGGAAAAGGAAGTGAGGAAACTCAATAGAGCCGCTGAAAAGGGCAAGGATGGATGGAGCCAGCGATACCAGAATCCTGAAGACGTGAGCGCTTTCTTGCAGGGGGGCAAAGCAGACTTTGAGCCTTCGAGATTGGTAGGCGGTCTGCCACCCCTGGGTATTGGGCGCAAGAATCCCAACGAGCGTAGACGTAGGAAAGTTTGACTTGCGTCTCTGCAGCACTCTACATGCTTTCAACCTCCATAGGCATTGATGCCGTACGTAGGAAGTCCGCCTCGTGAGCATGTCAGCTGTGTCTTGTCTGCAAATTCGAGGCATTGTCGTGCGTGCCCTGTACCGCTGATTGTGGTAAGTCATGACATTATGCCAGGGCAAGGGAAGTAGTGTATTCCAGGCCACAGGTTGTGTTAGTGAGACATGGCTGCGCTGCGCTAGGCTTCAGCGGAGCGAAGCTTATTTTGTTTAGTCCAGACCAGCTAAATTATCGCTCGCCTTCTGGATCTTCTTCACATTGCCGCCTTTGCCATCGGTGCTCTTCGATTGTTGTGCTGGAGCAGAATCGCCTGCAGCTTGAGCAGCTGACAGTTGCGGTTTGGCCGGGCCGGATTCTTGACCCGGTAGGTTCTGCGCGAGCGAGTCAAGAGTTCAATGCGCAGTGGTCAGTAGTCTTCCTTGGCCCATCACCATCCTGCCGTCGATCGCACGCAGCGATGGTCGCCCACCTGGCAGAGTTGATGGGCTATTTCGACAGCATGCATGCAAGTACTCACAGCGACAGCTTGTTGCTTGGACCCTGCTCCCTTTCCGCCCTCGACTTTGTCTCGAATTGCTTCTCCTTCTGAACCTTCGATCGCGTGCGCGCGCTTCTTTTTGCCGACCTTCTTTGGGGCAGGAGGCAGATCCCATGCCCACAGGGGAATGAAAGAGTCCACCTGAGATATGGACCAGGGAGCGCGTGAGCTGGCTATTCTCAGCGGAAGCTGGCAATTTCGCCTCGGAATCTTGCTTCTGAGCCATCAAGTCGCCCACAAATGACCGGCTCGGATCGCTCGCCTTTTGAGCGCAGCATCCCACTCACAAAGCCAACATCCTCGAACAAGTTGGGAAAGAGCCAGATACCGGGACTCAGCACGACCTTGGAGATGCCCCAAAGGATGAGTCTGACAATGGCCAGTCCGAAGAAAGCTCCGATGAGTCCCAGCACTCCGATAGAAAGGTACCATACCCCTACTCGAAGACTGGCAGGCCAAAGAGGGAACATGACACCAGCCAACATGAGTAGGATCATTCCGAAACCTGCCAGTTGCATCAAGAGCTGTGAGCCATCGTACAGCCAGACGTAGTACTGCGCAGGGATGCGTTGAGAGGGGAGTCAGCAAATGACTTCGTGCGCCTGTGAAGGGGAATTTGGCGCCAAACCAGTCTCGGCTGCAAGAGCGACCGAGTGGGAAGGCTGACAGACAAGAAAATGCAGAACTGCTAGATTCGGCTTCAGACCTCTGCGTACTTACCAGGTCGCTTTTGAACATTTGCATCTGATTGATCTGGATCGGACGTTCCTTCCCACCTTCCGTGGCCCTGTCCACCCTCAAGAAGAAAGCGTACGGAATGACATTGTGCAAAGCTTCAGCCGCTTGATCCTCATTCTCGATCTTTGGCAACACGCTGCCTTTCTTTGCTTGGGCCTTGACGTAGGCGGGAGATAAGAGGGACTTGATGGCTCCACTACCTTTGAAATGATCTTTACGCTGTCCGTTCAGAAGACCGACTTTGGTCTTGGGCCCCGTCGAGCTGCTGCGCAAGAAGTCGACGAGGGATCGCACCCAAGGCGGAGCTGAGGATTGTTGCTCCTGCATGTGCGTATCAACCAGATCTATCAGACAGCAGACACACATCGGAACGCAACAGGGCGCGCTGGTACGGATCGATCAGTGTGACTCACCATGGCGGGCTGGGTGGACTAAGCCGTCGGGTGAAGCTTTTCTTGTCTTTGCCGCAGATGCCTTGGAGTGTGTTCGCCAACCCGCGTTGTTCCGTCAGTCTACGAATATCGTCGGCGCTCGAGAGTTGGCTGACTGAGCGAACGAGGCCAAAAGAGCTGTTCAAATTCCAGCAATATTTATAGTGTCATCGAGGAATCAATGGTGATGTGAATGGACAGCGATCGAAAGGCTCGTGACTTGACTTGTTGGCCAAGAAAAGGGCGTGTCTGTGATGCTTCCTTCTGCATGACACGTCAGTCACGAGTCACAACAGTCCAGCGTCGGCGTTACGCCATTAGCGCTGCACGTGATTCAGTACTCCGACTCTTGACTTCGATGTGAGGCCCCAGCAAGGCATTTGCCGTCGGCGCAATCGCCTGCGTACCTTGAGTACGTAAAGAATCAAGACTGACGCCATGACAAAGCTGAGCACACACGCTTCGCCACAGTGTACGTCACCTACTGCAATTAAGACTGCAACATCAGTGCGCAGACCACTCCGGGTGGCCCCTCTCCGGGGCTGCATGTGCTCCGAAGTCTGTGCATGCTCTAGCGCACCTTCAATCGTGAACAGACTCTCGATGACGAGACTGTATTCTGCAGTCACAAGTCATCAACCTTTCCGCTTGGACAGGTGATACTACAGACTGCTTGTCAACAGGCTGCAAAAAGCAACACGCATGACATTGCAAGCAAGAGAAGTATGTCCGTGAGCGGTGATGCACACCATCTGAGCGGCGTTAGGAAAACCCGACCAGGTCGTCGACTATCTGTGCAAAGCGTTCTGGCTCAAAGGGCGGGAAGGGCTTCGAAGGCGGCGTACTCGAATCAAGCAGCTTTCGAAGATCTTCGTGGAGTGTGCTAGAAGCCGCGTGCGCAGGTATATGGTCAGCTGTCAGAACAAAACAGACGTGAGCTAGCTTGTCACCTGCTTGAATTGCTCACTGGACGCTGCCCGCTTTGCAGTAGTCCAGCCGCGCCAACTCGTCTGCGAGTTCACTTTGGTGATTGTCCATCAACGTCGTATTGGGAACAACCAGCACCTTGGGCGGACCGCGCGCACTGGTGCTCCTCAATGATTCTAAGATGGTGCCAGCGCCTGAAAGAGGAAGTGAACGCAGCTGTTTGTAAGGATCTGGCTTTGCTCCTCGAGCTCCCGGCCGCACTACTCACCTGCGTGACAGATAACAATATCTGCGCGACTGATCTCCTCTGAAAGATCGTAAACGTAGTCGATCAAGGTCAAGTGAACGCCATGTGAAGTCTCCAGCTGCAGGCAATGGGCTTGGAGTCCTCCACGCGCATCAGGCTCCGCTGTCCACGCCTGCGTACCATGCCCGATCGGGAGCGGTCCTGAAGGTCTAGCATCCATGTTCCAATCCTCGAGATCCGAGTTTGAGCTGCTCGAGCTATCCGTGTCGTCCTGCTCGTCGATTGCCGATATTTGTTGCGGGCGGTGCGACTTGCTCTGGCTAGCCTTGCGCTCCTTCAGCGCCGAAGACACTGCCTCGTCCAGCTCGACGTCGGCCCCAGCTTTGCGTGCATCGGTGCGCCTTCTCACCCTGCTTTTGACATCGCGAACGGCGCTGTCTATTGCGGCATCTTTCTCGTCAGCATCCTCTCTTGAGTCTGCATTTGCCTTGGAGTGCGTAGGTCTCTTGGAGCTGCTTGCCAGCTTCACATTCAACAAGCCTTCTTCTCCCGGGTCCAATTCTGTCCTGACAGCTCCGGTGTAGCCCCATTTGGTACCGACCTTTCTCAGACCTGCTTCCGGAACCTTCCTGGAGGAGGGATCCACAGGTTTGGCCAGGAAGGTCTGCAAGATGGACGCAAGGGGCGTGGCCCCGTGCTGCAGTAGGAGCGTCGGCTGTGTTGAGGCTGAATGCTTCCTGAGAGACTGCGAGCCTGTAGCGAGCTGTCTTAGCACATCATCCGACAGCGCAGCAGTGAGCAATGCAGGAAATGAGGTGGAGCCCACAGTGACGAGCACACGCAGCGGTTCTCCGCTTGTCGCATTGGCCATAATGCGCTAGAGGATGAGCGTCGATGTGCCGGGTAAGGGTGTAATCCCGTCAGTTCACTGATGGAATGCGGCCACCGTTCTGAAGGAAGCCAGGAAATCGACAATTAGGAGTCTTGGGTCTTGAGTCTCATCTCATGATGGCAGAGGGCTCGACGTTCTTGATTCCTACAGGCAAGTCGCTCGAGTTGAAAGGCAACCTTGGAACGCGCCTCTCGCGAGAGCAACGAGCAACCAACACCTCGGCCTGTTGCTGTATCACGTGTGCCACTTTCGCCTGCGCGCATGAGCACACGCAGCACGAGTGGCGCACCGCGACGCGTAAAGAGGCGCGCTTTCTGAAATGTGCTGTACATGCCCACGCGGTAGCATCATCCAGTTGAGGTCATCGACGTCCTATATTTCACTCAACACGTCCAATCCTCAACAAAGATCAAGCTTGCCTCACCACGCAAATCGGGCGCACTTATATGCACCCTGAAAGTTGTCATCGCGTTGAATCGTATCGTGGCTGGTTGGGCCCTGCTCGCTGCCCACTTGATAGCCAACCTCATCTCGAATTCTTCGACGAGCACAGATATCCGTAGACGACCTCTGCTTCCAAGCTCGCCATGTCTGGGCACATGTATGGAGGAGGCGGATATGGAGCTGGCAGCGGAGCAGGCGCTGGATCATCAGGTTCCAACGAGAAGCCAGAGCTAGGTTTAGGTCAGTCCCTCAAAGATGTGCATACAATTGGCAGTGAGCTGACAGGGCTCACCCCTTCCACACGCGCATGCAGACCAAGCCGCAGAGACGAGCTTCGTCGCATTTTTCAGGAGCATGACGCCGGCATCGGAGGGCACGGTTCGACTGTTCGATCGCGGCGTGAGTGCGACACCGGACGGAGCGCAAACCCTAGTCTCTCGAAGAGCGTGCTGACTTCCGCGTCCATGATCACCCGTTGCAGGACTTTTACTCCGCACATGGTGACGCGGCAATGCTGGTCGCTTCGACAGTGTTCAAGACGCACAGCGTCCTGAAGCAGCTCGGTAAGAGCTCCAAAGGCGGCGAGCTGTCGTCGGTGACGTTGAGCAGAGCGGCAGCTCGGGACTTTTTGAGGGATGCCCTTACAGTCAAGCAGCTCAGAGTCGAGATCTGGGCCGGTGGAGGGAAGCGCAGCAATGTGTGGACATTGGCAAAGCAGGTAAGCGTGCGCGAACATTTGCACTCAAAAGCAAAGGAGCAAGCTAAGTGCACTCTCTCGACTGTTGCGCAACAGGCATCGCCAGGCAATTTGCAAACGGTCGAAGACTTGCTGTTCACTCACGCCGACCTCGTCACGTCTCCGATCATTCTCGCGCTGAGGCTCGCGAACGTAGATGGGGTACGAACAGTAGGAGCAGCCTTTGCCGACGCTAGTTCACGCCAGCTCGGATTGGCGCAATTCGCGGACAACGATCTTTTCTCAAATGTAGAGGTAAGTCGATTCGAACGCATTGGAGTTTTGTGCAGTGCACGAGCTCATAGTCACGGCTGTACGTCAAAAGAGCTTGGTGATTCAGCTCGGCGTCAAGGAGTGCCTCATTCCCGCAGACGAGAAGGACACCGATTATGACCTGTCAAGGTTGCGCACTGTCCTTGATCGCTGCAATTGCGTCCTGACAGGAAGGAGAAAGGGTGGGTGCCGAAGTGCTCCAGTTCCCAGTGCGACTCATTAGCTGACGCTGTCCTCTGTGGGGACAGGAGACTTCCAGCCCAAAGATGTAGAGCAGGATCTATTACGTTTGTTAGCAGACACATCAGCAGGCACAGCACAGCGTGAGTACGGTAAAGCGCATCATGTCTGGACTTCGGCTCAATGCATATTCGTGCCGCTGCCTTTGGATCAGCTGAATTCGGACTCAAGGTCTCGCTGGGAGCCTGCGCTGCGCTAATCTCTTACTTGGATCTCATGACGGAGCAGCTCAATTTTGGGCAGTACACCATTCGCGAGCACGACCTGGGGCAGTACCTCCGCCTCGATGCGAGTGCTTTGCGTGCTCTAAGCGTCTTTCCCGAGCCGGGTGCTACAGGAGGCAACAAGAGCATGAGCATTTACGGCCTGTTGAACAAGTGCAAGACGGCCCAAGGACAACGTATGCTGGCTCAGTGGCTCAAGCAGCCGCTCGTGAACGTCTTGGAAATCCGTGAGTGAGGGCGCGCCATCCCGTCCTATGCAGATCCATCATGCTCACTTTGCTCGGGCCTTCAGGCAAGCGGCATACGCTCGTCGACGCTTTTGTTGGACACAGCGAGGTTCGCACAGCACTGCAAGTGAGCGTCATGAAGCGTGATAGCACAGGACTCATCGTATGACTTACACGATATTCACTCACACTCTTCAGATGGATCAATTACGCATGATGCCAGACTTGCACCGCATCAGCAAGCGCTTCCAGATGGGTGTTGCTACACTCGAGGACGTGGTTCGCGTCTACCAAGCAGCGCTTCGCCTGCCCCAGATGGCTGACTTGCTGTCCGAAGCGCGCTCCATGGACGAGTCTTCTCATGCTCTCGACGAATCTTTCATTGCGCCCTTCAAGGTAAGTCTGTCCACTCGCGGGGCCATCGCGTGAGCTAGCTGACATTCGCTGGCTATTCAAGACGCTACAAGAGCAGCTTTCAAGATTCCTGGAGATGGTCGAAGAGACATTGGATCTAGATGAGCTCGAGCATCACAACTTTGTCATCAAGGCCGGCTTCGACGATCGACTCCAGAGCATCAAAGCGAGCCTGGACACCGTGCGAGACAACTTGGACAATGAACATCGACGAGTCGGCAAGGACCTGAACATGGAACTCGACAAGAAGCTTCACATGGAAAACCACAGCACGTACGGATACTGTCTAAGGTTGACGCGTGCAGTGAGTCAAGTGTGTTTGCTTTGGCACCACCCGCATTGCTCAGTGATTCTCTTCCTGCTCACCAGGATGCCAAAGTCTTGTCGGGCAAGAAAAAGGGATACATTGAGCTCGCTACAATCAAGGTGAGAAGCTCTGGCCTTCCGCCTGTCCTCGCTTCGCTCGACGCTCATACGCTACACGTCCCCTTTTCAGAATGGTGTTCATTTCACCACACCAGTGCTGCGAGAGCTCAGCGACGACTTTCGCAGCTTATCCGAGCAGTACACCTCGCAGCAGGCAGGCCTCGTCAAGGATGTCATCGGCATCGCCGCTTCCTACTGTCCTCCGCTGGAACGTCTCAACGTGCTGCTCGCCAACTTGGACGTGTTGCTCAGCTTTGCACATGTCAGCGCGTGCGCACCGGTTCCCTACACAAGACCACAGATTGTCGAGAAAGGTTCAGAAGCGCGGCTGCGCGTCGAAGAGGCGCGCCACCCGTGCATTGAAGTGCAGGACGACATTTCGTTCATCGCAAACGACGTCGACATGTCACCAGGAGAGTCCGAATTCTTGATCATCACTGGACCCAACATGGGAGGCAAGAGCACCTTCATACGACAAGTTGGTATCCTTGCTCTGCTGTCCCAAGTCGGATGTTTCGTCCCTGCTGCCGAGGGAGCGCGGATTCCTGTCTTCGACTGCATCTTGGCTCGTGTCGGTGCAGGCGACAGTCAGCTGAAAGGCGTCAGCACCTTCATGAGCGAAATGCTAGAGACTGCCACCATCCTCAAAACCGCAACCAAAGACTCTCTCATCATCATCGATGAGCTCGGACGCGGTACTTCGACCTACGATGGTTTCGGCTTGGCATGGGCCATTTCGGAATGGATAGCTACTGAAATCAGATGCAAAACGCTCTTTGCGTCGCACTTTGCGGAAATCACCAATCTGGCGGTACAGCAGCCACACGTCAAGAATTTGAAGGTACTGGCGCACGTCTCTGAGAAGAGCGAAGAGGGAGCAGCAAATGCTGCGGCTACTTCAGAACAAGACATCACACTGCTGTACCGCGTAGAGCCTGGCATCGGGGATAAGAGCTACGGGTTGCACGTCGCAGCGTTGGCAGGCTTCCCAGACAGCATTTTGCGGCTGGCAAAGAGGAAGGCCGAGGAGCTTGAAGACCTTGAAGGTGCGTGTTTGGTCGGTCTTGGTACACCCGAGTAATCCATGCTGATTGTGCCTCAGCTTCATCCCCTGCTTTCGCAGACGAGGATACCGACTCTCCCCTAAAGATGCCAAAGGACGCGACAGACAGAGGGACCGCATTGGTGGAAGAGTTCCTACTCACCTGGGCCAAGCGCTCCGCGGCTCTTGAAGGAGCAGATGACGAGAACGTTGGGATGACAAACGGGTCGGATCCCTCAAGTAAGCGCAGACGTACCGTCGATCCGAAAGCTGAGCTGGCCGAACTTAGAAGGACGGTTGAAGAGTTTAGGCCAAGATGCGAAGCTGATCCATGGGTCAAGGCTGTGCTGGAAAGCTTCTAGAAATGCACAATGCGCACAAGATCTGCGCGGTTGCAGCGATGCGTAGTCAGCGTTCGCTTCCATGCTCATTGAAATGTCACTGAATCATTCACACTTGATCGAGAAAGGCCTTGCGAGCCCCTCGAAAGAGCAATTGTGAATACAACCAGACTTGGCTGTGTGAACGCCAGTCGATCTCTCCCCTTGCGCGCACGCGACCTCGCGCGGCCGTCATGCACCTCTCGGCGGAAATGGGCAGCCGCGCGCGCTTGGACCATCATCATCCACACGCGCATACATGTGATCATCCACGATTGTACCCCACTCGATGATCGCCCTTCTGAAATCCTCGCACTCACCGCTCACCTCACTTGCTGCTTTCACCGGATCAGTTCCGCACAGATTGACCGAACACACCTCTGCCGCCGACCTGTGGGAGTCGTGACGACTCTCTGACAATCTGCTTTTGCCAACAGGGCGGCGCATCATTGCTCACAAGCTGTCATCGTTGGCGTCGCTGCTTCACCCTTGTTGCATTCGGTGACGCTCACCCAAGAGTCTGAGCCAAGATGATCTCGGCATACTTCATCTTCAACCAAAAGGGAGAAGTGCTCATCTCTCGCCTGTTCAGGTCAGATCTCAAGAGGAGCATTGCAGACATTTTCAGGATTCAGGTGGTGTCTAATCCGGATGTGAGGTCTCCTATCATTACACTCGGTAGTACTAGCTTCTTCCATGTTCGGCATGAGAACATCTATGTCGTTGCTGTCACTAAGTGAGTTGTTCGAGGCCTTGAAGCCGAGCTTGAATTCTCCACGGCGCAAATTGCAGCATCGCCAGTCTCGACGAGATACATGTGTATGGAATCTGCCTCTCCGATGACCGAGCTGATACCTGTCCTCTTTGTATCATTCTGCTGCTCAGATGCAACGCAAATGCAGCCCTGGTCTTCGAGTTCCTCTACAGATCCATCCAGATTGGTAGATCCTACTTTGGAAAGTTCGATGAGGAAGGCATCAAGAACAACTTTGTGCTGTTCTACGAGCTGCTGGATGGTGAGCACAGCGTACTCCTCGCTCCTCTCGAAGCCGTTTGTGGCAAAATGCTGGTCATCGTTGGAGCATCGCTGCTCGAGCTGGGGCTGCTGCGCTCAACAACAATGAGCGTGGCGAGCGCTGCACATGCGAGCCAATGTGACGGAGGCGTGCGCCAGATCACGCCGCCAGCCTGATCGCAGCATCGAGGCCCCTGCTGACCCATTCGTAATCATTGTCTCCTCGTGCAGAGATTCTGGACTTTGGGTACCCGCAGAACAGCGAAACGGACACTTTGAAGATGTACATCACAACAGAAGGGGTCAAATCTGAACAGGCTGTGCGAGAGGACTCTGCAAAGATCACCATCCAAGCTACGGGTGCTACGAGCTGGAGAAGGGCAGATGTCAAGTACCGGAAGAACGAGGCTTTTGTGGATGTAGTTGAAAATGTCAATCTGTTGTTAAGCTCGAAGGGTGAGTGGTCGTCCTCCTAATGGTCCAATCAAAGGGCTGGGCTGACTGGTCATACACTTGCCGGACCGCTCTCTGGCAGGCACTGTGCTGAGGGCAGATGTGGATGGCAGAATATTGGTCCGAGCGTACCTTTCTGGTACGCCGGAATGCAAATTTGGTCTCAATGACAAGCTCGTGCTGGACAGAGCTGACAAGAGGAGAGGGGCGAGCGGTGGCGCAGCGAGCAGCAGCTTGGGAAGCGAAGCGTCAGAGGTCGAGCTGGACAGCTGTCAGTTTCATCAATGCGTCAAGCTGAACAGGTTCGACACTGATCGGAGCATCAGCTTCACCCCACCGGACGGAGAATTTGAGCTCATGCGGTAAGCCGACTTCGGTTGATGTTGAGCGAGCAAGTCGGTTCCTGACCCCCAGCGCATCTGTCTGGCCTTTGCGGTTTTCAGATACCGATCTACCACAAACGTCAACTTGCCATTCAAAGTGCATCCTATCGTCGAGGAGGTCTCGAAGAGCAGGGTGGAGTACAACATCAATGTCAAGGCAAACTTTGACTCAAAGCTGAGCGGGACCAACATCGTCTTGAGAATACCCTGCCCGCACAATACCACCAACGTCAAATGCGAGGCTCTACTGGGAAAGGCCAAGTACGTGCCCAGCGACGGAATGATTGTCTGGAAGTGAGTAGAAGCGCTCTTAAGCGTTGATGCAGCCGAAGCTGGCACTTGCGTGGCTGACTTGAAGTGTCCTCACTCGCCATGTAGAATCCCCAAGATGCAAGGGATGACAGAGACGTCTCTTCAAGCGGATTTGGAGAGGAGCGCCACCACAACTCAGAAGACTTGGTCAAGAGCTCCCATAGAGGTTGACTTTCAGGTCCTGATGTTCACCGCGTCTGGACTGCTGGTCAGGTTCCTCAAGGTGTTTGAGAAGGGCAACTGTGAGTTTCGACTTGGCGAGCTGCCATCACAATCGATCCTGCAAAGCTCACGCTTCTCTCCTCTGTGCGAACGGACTCGATGTATAGATCAAAGTGTCAAATGGGTTCGCTATCTTACAAAAGCGCAGGGCACATATTCTATTCGATTCTAGGCCGATCAGCTCTTGCCCCGAATCACCCTGCCTTTTTGGTGCCCTTCGCGCCTCCGTTTCATCTTTCCTTGCACGTCTTTGTCCCTCGATGCAATCCTTCATGCTTGTACAATGTTCTGGAGGGGTTCAACAAGAAGCTTGGCGTCACAGCGTGTTGACCACTTTGACAGAAGTATGCAGTGCGGGCAGTACGCTGTGCGCGGGCGCTTCATCGAGCCACAAATGGCCGGAAGCTGGGTGACCATGCTATTTGAGCAAAGTCAGACGCTTGCTCTGGCAATGCACCACATCTCTCCGCTCTGTAAGACATGGCTTCGTTCAACTGCGGCACCAACAGCAGTGACGATGGGGTTCACGCGTTAGCAGCAGCATCGTCTGAGAATCCTTGGTGCTAGGCTTGGAAGAGACTTACCCAGCTGTGCAGGGCTTGCATACGCTTCTCAGAGAGCGGATGCGTGCTGAGGATGCTCTCTGCGGCTTTGAACAGGCCGGATGACTCCTGTTGCCCCTTTGCTTCACCAGATTGCCTTTGCTCAACCTGCGCAAAGCGTTCCCTATTCATTCACAAAGTAAAGGTGAGACGGTTATTCGAAACGGCCGAAAGAATGCTGCCAACTTCAGGCCTTTTGGGGCTCACCAGAACTTTGGCGCTTGTCGAGGATCGTAGCAAGCTGCAGTCATGAGTCGCAGACCTGGGGGTTTGCATTGCCAATCTCGGCGTCAGGGTTCGAATTGGAGAGCGCATTTGCAGTCGCGCGCTTGCTGTAACGCACCGAGTCGATCAGCCTCAGTCTCCTGCGTGCGGCTGTTGGGCAACTGGTACAGTAGCTTTGTCAAGAGGATAGACAGGCCAAAACCGAAGCCGAACAGAGCTTCCAAACCTTGCGCCAAGAAGTAGAGCACCTTCGTGCCGCTCTGTCCTTCTGCGTGATGTCGCAGAATCTGATGCGCTATTTCTGCACACGACGGCCAAGTTGTGACACGAATACCGGACTTTTGTCTGTGTAAGCAGAAGCATGCAAGAAGTGAAGGGGAGTGAAAGCAGCAACATCTGCTTACCGTGACTCAGAACCGTCGCCAATGCATCGTCAGTCTGGCACAATCGAAGCATGCCTCCATAGATGAAGATCTTGCCTCCAGGCAACACAAAGGCGTTGAGCTTCTGATCAGCGAGGACATGGATGACCCATTGCGTGTGCGACTTTTGCAGCGTATTATCCGAACTTGGCGAGACGTCCGAGATTGCCTGCACCAACCTCGACGCTACGCGCTGCACTCTCCTCGTTTCGGGATGGTGAGCGGGAAGTATTGCAGCTCCGTTCTGTGCCATGAACGCTTTGTACGTCGCCATGGCTAGGGACTCTTCTTGTGCCGGTGTGACATCCATGAATCGAGTTCGATTCATTCCCGGCACGGCCTCCAAGTGAAAGACGTAGTAGGTAAAGCCGCCGCCAAAGAAGACGAGGAGAATGACCACCGCGAGCCTGTTTGAAGAATTGTCTTTCCAATTGTTTGAGGATGAGCCACCTTGATTTTGTCCACCACCGAGGCGACGTGCAAGCTCGAGGATGGGCTCCCTTGATGACCCCGCTCTGTGCTGCTGTATCCTTCGTGGCTCATCTCCACTTGCTTGTCCAAACCGCCTGTATTTGACATTGCCAATTCCTGAGGTCTTGAAACCTCGGGTCCGTAAGGCAAGCGGTCTCGTGGAGCCGCGAGCGCCGCTCGGTATTGAGCCGGTTAGGTGCTGTCCCTCGGGCAAATGAACGACGCCGCTTTGCCAAGAGATCCGTCCCCTGCTGGCAAGAGCAGCCTGAAAGCGCTCCAAAGCAATGCGATGCATGATGGTCGCAAGCTTGAGCCAAGGGTGATCGAGATGATCTCTTTCCAAAACTTCTCCGTTCTCTTTGGACCTTGCCACTCCTCACAGCCCCTTTGTGTCCGTCAAAGCGCATTCCTGGAGCCTCTTGCACTCTTCAGTGTTTCTCGTATCCACTGATACGAGCGAAGTGGTAATCACACACGCCAATCAGGCGTGACGAACCACGTCAAGGCGCGACAGAGAGTCTGAGTGCCTTCGAGACGCGAGGGTGGGTCAAGAGTCACGAGTGAACCTGACCATCATGAATGTTCCGATGTGCTGCGTCGAATGTTCGAGAATGCTGCTTGTTCGGCACAAGCGACTCGGGCTGGGCTCGCCTCGCCTATAGCTGCACCTCGTCACCACCTAAGCGCACGCCGCACGCGACCTCCACGAAATGGTGGAGCAGAGGAAGAAGGGAAAGGAGAACGAGAGGCATACTGTTCTCGACTGCATGCATGGGCTTGGCTGCTCGCCAGCAGCAACGGTGGCCAAAGCCAATGAGTGGTCCCGGGGAATCACCACTCTTGAATCTGTAGAAGCTATTCGTGCTGCTACAATGTGAATCTTGAATTAGGTGCCTCAAGCCGGACGGAGGTATTTTGGCCGATGCACTTTTGCGCCCTCGCCAAAACAAGGTTCAATTTGGATGATTGAATGCGACCCCACTCTCTGACTCGTGACTTATATTACCGACGTCGATGCACGCGCGCACCACGTATTGTTAACAAGCTTTTTGGCCAAGTATTGCTGATCTGCGCTGTGTGCAGGTCTGTCCAAGCTGAGATCGAGGAAAGAGCAAGCAAAGGCAAGGGTCACGAGTCCTGCGATTGTGAGAAGGTGAACGTCATTCGTGATTCTCGATGCGTCGAAGCTTCAAAGCAAAGTCTGAGTGGCATTCTTGATTCGTCGATATACCGGGCCCGTGCAGAGCTTGAACACCGGCTGACCCAGGAACACACAGCAACAGCAATTAGCATGCAGCGACCCAGCATCAGCGACCCAGCCGGAGAATCCAAATTCACGTGATTGAGACGTGTGGGTCCTTATAATCGACGCAAACATCAGATGAACACAGCTATGAAACATGCTTTGCTGCGATCTCGAACGCCGACGAGAAACGTCCTACAGCAGCAGCAGCCAAACACGTCCTCAGTCACTGTGACTCGCGTCCAGAGCATCAGCCAATCGAGAAAAGCGTGGAGCTTTGCGATGTTATGTACCACCTCGTCAGCCTAGCAGCAGCAGCAGCGGCAGCAGCAGCGTCTTTTGACAGATGATGCACCTGCAGGCGGTGCATATAGCTGCCGCGGAGTCGCCAAAACGCCACAGCTGGCCGAGCTGTCGTGCTGCCGATCAAGACGACGAGGTGCACGTACGATATTCCGCTGAACGGCCAACTCGAAACTGCTCTCGTGCCTCATCTGCTCCATTTCAGAGCATTAAGGGCTGGCAGGGTTGTTGCGGGCAGGCTGGGCAACCTGCAGCAGCACGCAACATCCTGATCGTAATGAGCAGCATCGCACTGCGACTGCGTGGAACATATTCGTGCTGAGCATCAGAGGGTCTTCAGCAAGCAGGGTGCGCGGCGATGCGTCCATCCTATGCAGCATGTGCTTCTATATATATATAATTCAGCGGTCCAAGTGCACGTACGGCACGTAAAGTGAGTGAGTGTCAGCAGTCAGTCAAAAAGCATCAGCGGGACCATGGCGGACTGTGTACGTGCGGGACCGGTGTAGGAGGGTCAGCCTGTCCCACTCGTGACTGTTCCAGACCCTACGAAGAGCGAACATTCACGTGATAGGCTCGCTTGGCTCAGCTCTCGAACGTCGCCTGAAAGTCGTTGAGCGAGCATTTGGCAGTGTGAGTGCATGCTTCTTCCTGCCGTCGAACATCGCCAGGGCGTTGATGCACGAAGGACAATCAGAGTTCAGAAGAAGAAATGGTGAAAAGTGAATCTTGAATGCGTATACATAGCCGAGCTGCAAGAAGGCGCTTTTCCCCCGGCCACACTTGGCAAAGCTCCTTTCCCTACGTAAATTGGCGCTACAAGCACATGTATTTCCCACCTGCATCAATGTGAATCTTGTCCAACCTTGATCATCCATGCGAGACTTTCCCATCCACACGCACCCACACACGCGACGCTACACAAAGCGTAGCACGTTCCCTCCATCCGAATTGCGCAGCTTCAACCCAGCGACTACCCTCGCGCCCGCTTCGTCAGCCGCAGAGAGAGGGCCAGCGCCTTTCTTCGCTTTCGACCATCTTCGGCTGAACCAGCCTTTCGCTGCAGCTGTATAGCTGTCACGCAACGGTACAAGCTAGCTCTGCTCCGCTGTGCCGCCGGCTGAGCCCAGCTTCACTTTGGTCGGACTGGGTGACATCTCACGCGACAGGCGTCTGCTTCCATACCTCCGGCTGAGCATCTCTTTTTGCCGACGACTGCCACTCTATGCAAAGGAAGAGCTGCGCCCTTCTTGAGACTTGGCGCAAGTCCTTGGTTACCGCGAAGAGACAAGTCGGCAAATTTTCTCATTCCTTGCCCTCTGGCGAGCCAAAGCGGAGAGAAGAGGGTGATTGCTCGCCTGTGCAAGACATTAAAAAGTCGACCGCAAAATACGACTCGATGACCACAGACTTGTGACGCAACTCTGCAAACAATCTCGCAACCCTCTTCACCGCACGCGCTGCGATACGCAAAGATGAAGTTTGGAAAGTCGTACATGGAAACACTAGCCAGCCCCTCGTTCCCGCAAGAGTGGAGGGAAGGTGCCATCGAGTACAAGCATGTGAGTCGTTGGCCGTAACTAGCGACACCTCAATGTCCGACGGTCTTAATTTCTTGTCGCTTCTCGCCACTTTGCGCAGCTCAAGAAGCTGATCAACGGTGTCGTGGCTGAGCTTGAATCTCTTGGGCTCGGTGCGGACGTGCTCAGAGAGCTCATAGCTCCAGCTACGCAATCCGGCGATGCGCACGAAGAAGAGGATGAAGACATCCAAATGTCTCAGCTAGCGGCTGCGGCTGCTGCCAAGTCTTCGCTCCACCCGAGCCACCACGGCGTACCGGCGCGGCGATCATCGCAGAGCAGCGAGTCCAGGGCACGTTCGCGATCGCTGACCAGCAGTGGTACTGAGGACTCAAGCGCAGATGAGGCTGCTACAACTGGGCCCGGAAAGTACGGCAGGCTTCTGGTCGATTCTAGAGCTGCTAGATTGGGCGGCTCTGAGAGTGGCAACCCGCTAAGCCCACTCATAGAGGAGACTGGCCCTTCCTCTTCCCGGACAAGCCCATACACGATTGGACGACCTAGCGCAGAGGAGCAAGCGCCAGCTATAAGTCTGGGTGTTGCGGCCCTGTCGCCGAGTGCTACCCTCGAGGCACAGAAGGCGCAAAGAGCAGCGCATGGAAGTCCCTTGGAAGTGCCGAGCGAGGACTGCGAAGAGTGCGTCGCTGATGCTGGTGCGAGGGAAGCAGCGCGCAAGTCCTTGGGTGAAGGCTCTCAGTCGAACGGTATATCCGCCATCGTGAGCCCTTCTAAGGCATCCTCGCATGAGTCTCCTGCAGCGGAGTGGCTGGAAAAGATAGCCCACTCTCAGCCCCATCAGCGGCGTCGCAGCGCTCGCAAAAGCTCGGGGGCCTCCCAGACAGCGGGCGGATGGGCAAGCTCGGATGGCAGTCCGTCGAGCTCGAGGCAGCACTCTGTGGATGTCTCGGATACGGACGGTGCTGCACGTCGCCGCCATCACCATCATCACCATCATCACGAGCAGCACCAGCACCAGAGTCACGAAGAGGGCCCCGAAGCGCTGCGACCCGATCCTCGACTGCTTTTGAAGCCCCACGAGCGCCCCTCGGCTTTCAGGAAGCGGTCTTCAGCCGATGGGTCTTCGGGCGTAGGTAGCCCAGATGCAGTCACAGACGACGAGACCAATCAATGGTATGGCATGGGCAAGAAGGAGCTCGAGGAATTCAGGAGAAGGAAAAGCGAAGTCTTTGGTGATGGTCCGCAGAAGGAGGATGGTGTGAGGAGGGCTTCAATGCCCGCACACGATCTTCAGCCCGGCGAACGGGCACAAGGCGCAAGTGCAGCAAACGATCACGGCAGGCATGACTGGGGTGGACATGCTTGGAGGGAGAGACCCGGTGACGCTTGGAAGATGGAGAATGACACAGCTAAGCCTTCTGGCTCGCTCCGCGATAGACCTAATTTGGCCGCCAGACGATCGAGTTCTGGTGGCGCAGTTGGCAAACAACCCGAGGACGGTCATGCTCGCAAGAGCAGGTGGGTCAAAGGAAAGGATGGACGACGTGCCCGAGCAGAGTACGAGCTTGGGGGTGAGTAGCTAGTGCACGTCTCTCGCCTAAGATTCGGAAGCTGACCCCTCCTCTGCGGCGGCCTTTTGTAGGCACCAAAGAGCATCCGGTTCCTCGGATTCGCCTGTTCGTCGAATCGCCTGTCAACTCCGGAGACGAAGGGAGCGCCGAAGAGTCCGCGTCTGAGGACGACAGCACATCCGACGCTGGCGCAGAGGATGCGGGGCCGCGCATCACGGAGCTGCCGCCGACGCCCAAAACGCTCAAGGGTTCACCCGGTCGCGAGCCGGCGGTGCTCGCTCTACCGAACGCTTCGCTTCCAGACAGCACGTCAACGCAGCGCGCCGATGCAGATGCTGGGTCGGCGCCAGCTCCGTCCTCAGAGCAACTCGGGACGTCTGCAGCAAGAAGTCACGAGGGACGCCGCATGCGTCACCGAGAAATCGTCATTCCCCTGACAGCGGACACGGAGTTCCTCGATACGCTGACCGGCGCTCTGCAAAACCTCTCCAACCTGCAAAGTGCGCAGAGGGATGCATTTCAGCAACAGACCGAGTCGCTTTGCAGCGCAGTGGCCCGCGTCGCGTCTCCATACGCAACGAAGAGCGACCTTTACGTCTGGAGAGAGATTTTCGCATTGTACGTCGAGATGCAGATCTTCGAGTCCGAGCGGGAAAAGGATCGAGGAGAAGTCAGTGTGGATGAGAGCGAGGCGCGATTGAAAAGGTTCGCTGAAGAACTCGCCAAGCGAGGCTGGACCGCGTCCAATGAGTCAGGAGAAGATGCGCGGGGCGGCATTCCCGGCCACAAGCACCGCGGTGGATTGGCAGCTCGTCTCAGCAGACGGAAGAGCAGTGCTGCTGGCGCTTCAGCAGGCGGCTCGCTGCAGCCCATGAAAGATCAGAGATCCGTCAATGCGCTTCAAGATTTCCTTCGGCTCAATTTGGCCTTGTTGGACGTGAAGAAATTCCAACGGGTGAACATCGAAGCGGCGAGGAAAATTTTGAAGAAGCACGACAAGCGCACTGCGCTCACGGCTAGCGATGACCTGAGAGCTTTCATAGCTCAGCAGGATGCAGCTAGGCTGGGAGCTGCTACTGTGGCGGGCATGGGCCTGTCCGGGCTCGTGCAGATCCCGCCTGAAGCCTTTGGGGTCGGTTCAGATGGCGCCAGTCATCGATCGGGAGCTCTGGTTCCTACTGGCGGAGGGACCCATCCTTCCCTGGCGGCCCTCTTGCCGAGCAGCACAACGGGCATTCTCGCAGAGAGCTTGCCTCACATTCTCCTCTCGCTCCTGACCACCACGCTTCTGCCCATTCTGCCGAGCATCGACGACTACGCCTGCGCCATCTGCACGGGTGTGGCTTGGAGACCCATCCGACTGGACTGCGCGCACCTCTTCTGCATCCGATGCCTCGTGAAGCTACAAAAGAAGGGCAAGGCTGACTGTCCGCTCTGCAGAGCTAAAGGTGTCGTGGGTAGCGCCGATGGGAAGAATTTGGACGAAGCGGCGACAAAGTTTATGAAGACTTGGTTCCCTCACGAAGTTGCAGAGAAGGATTCCGAGAATGAGACAGAGAGGAGAAAGGAAGAGATGGCTGAGTTGGGACTTCAAGTGGATGCTGATAAGTGCACCGTCTGCTGAGACCGCAAGTACCGTCACACATTTGTATCATCAGAAGCTGGCCTGCATGTGCCTTGTGCGCGCAAAAGCTCGCAGCTGTTTGCGCCACGTCTGTCTATCATCATCAGGAAATGCACACATTTCTTCTTCGCCCTCTCGCTCTCTCTGTGCCGCACATCGAGAAATGTTCCGGACTACCTGTGCCCTCGACTTGCGCCTGATCAGCGTGCATTCGATCAGTGCCATTGCGGGCATAGCTGGAATTTGCGCCTAATGCGGCGATGCTGGCGAAGGAGGTAAGTTCAGGTCGAAGGGTAGGGGTCTCTTTCGCCTGGTGGGAACGCTAGAAGGAGTGACAGGTCCCGCTTCAGGAATGGCAATGCTCTCCGGCTTCCGAGTCGTGATTGTTTTTGCTGGCGGCGCAGGTGGTGCTGCATCTCGACTCAACGGTGTCGGGCGGGTCCATTTTCCCGGACCAACTCCTAGCTCAGGTCCAGCAACGGTAGGATCCCTCCGCGCACCACCACCACGACTCTTCTGATCGGCAGCCTTTCGACCTTGACCTACCTTCTTGGGAACGCGCTGCCACACTTCCGTGTCGGAAAGACCCTCTGCGCGCAGCTTGTTGCGGTCATGCGTGCGTCGAGCAGCTTGAGTTTCGGGAGTGCCGACGGGCCAGAGGTGCTGATGCTCTGGACCTGCCCTAGACAATTCCTCCAACAACTTTTGCCTCACGCGCGTTCCAGCAGATCTCGGATCGCCCGGATATCTGGTCCAAATTTCGATCTCCGTCTTCTTTTGGACCCTCATCTTCTGCCGTGCCTTGGAGATTTGGCCTCCCGACAGGCCTTGGTTGTGAGTCGCTGCCTGCTTGCTCAATCTCGGATCACCTATCAATTTCTCCACCTCATCCACCCGCCCTTGCTTGATGAGCTCCTTCTTTTGCCGGTAAAGGGTGGCAGTGGAGCCTTCGCCCCACCTGTACTTTAAAGGCCTATGAACTGCTGGTAGATCCTTGGCTGGAGCGTCGGGAAAGGTTTGCGGAGCAGAAGAGCCGCTCGCTATCGATGAGCCTTGCAAGGGTTGGTGAGGAGCACCCGAAGGAGCAAATGCGATGACTCCTTGTCGTCTAAGCTTGGCGCGTTCCTTCTGTCGGGCCAGCGTTCGGGCTGAACCGACCCCGTCAGGCAGACGGCGAAACGGTCCCTTGTGCTTCCTCTCGAGCTGCTTGCCAATATCGACATTGGTGATTGGCGGATGCTCAGAAGAAGCCCCACCCACGGCCTTATCCACTAGCTCTTTCCCACCTTTAGACGCTTGCTCTAATGGCAGCAGCGGAGCTCTGCGATGCAGTCGAGCTCGTCGCATTCTGCCATTCAAGCCGGTCTCTTCTGGCGTGCCGCCTTTGCCAGCGACGATGGGCAGTGACGGGGTGCGGCGCTTTAGCAGCGCGTCAGTCTGTGAGCGCGGCAAAGCGAATTCCTGAAAGGGGAGGATAGAGCGTTCGCGCTGTCAGACAGGTCCAGCGTCCATCAACTCTGCGCTGTACCTGCTCTTACCTGCGATGCAAGAGTTGGAACCGAGAAAAGCTTTAAAGCGTAGCCATTGTCGTTGTTCAAGTCTAAAGGGCGGCCTGCGCAGGGGAGACTGCAGCAAAGTGTGAGCAAGCAAGAGGAGAGCAAATGAGCGAGGCGGTGCGTCGATCGTTTGTCTGTGCTCCTCTTCGCGCGAGTGCGCACATTTGTGGAGCGATGCTTCATTGGAAGCATCCAGCTTCACAATGATCAGTGAGCGACTCGAGCTGTAGGGAACAAGTGCGGCGCGAGTGAATTTGCGTGGTGATCGTCTGAGGGATAGCGTATGCGCTTGTGCAAGGGCACAAGTTGCGCCATGTGCGTGAGGAGGAGGAGAATAGCGACCAAGGCTTTTTGCATGGCTGAGCAATTCAGCTGTTCAGTCCTGCTGAGTGGCGTAGAGTGGCCTCGCTACACAATCGCAAAAGAATCACGGAATGCTAGCAAATCGTGAGTGGCAAACGATATTCATCTATGCTCGCCCGCTCGCCACCGGCGATCAGTCACGGTGTGACTGCGCGTCAAGACTCGCGCAAAATGAACTCTACAAAGCGTCGCGAGTGCGAGTTCGAGTGCGAGTGCGGGTGCGACGAGTGGGGAGCTAAGAGTGGCAAATGCGGGCCGAGAAGGAGAGCGGGATTGCGTCACTTGTACACTTCTCCCTTCTCGATTCGCCGTTCATGGACTTCGTTTGAGTAGCGTAGCGGAGACCATCGCTTGGTCCTGCATATACCTGGCGAGATGCCTGGATGTTGCGATGAGGTTCCTTGATCTGAGGGCCACCACGGTAGTCTGCCACATCGAAAGGCACTATGGATGATATCCAGCCATCCAGCCATCCAATGCCCTGAGCAGATCTCACAGCGCAGTTCTATAGGTCGCTCATGGCCAGCTCACATTTGCGGTTCGATTCAAGATTTGTGGAAGAGATTTCGTTTGGCAAGCAGCGCAGATGAGCTTCAGTGCGGTACAGGTAGGAATCGCTGATATGCTACATCAAGATGTGTAAGACGAGAGAAGTACAAATCATGAGTCACGAGTCGTGAGTGCAAGTCACGACGCGCTTCCGCGTCGCGCTGCGCTGATGACTGAGTCAAGACGGCGCGCATCGCGCCACTGCGCGACGCGATGATGAGGCTGGAGCAGACCATGATGTGTGGCGCCATGCAGAGGTTCGTGACTGCTCGGGTAAGCAGCGACTGCATCCGTGCATGGTCAGATAGATCATCTTGGGGGTCAAGAGTTACACGGTCACCAGCAAACACACGCGTGATGTGTATATAGACAGCAGCGCTGGCATCTCCAAACAAGAATCAAGAATTTTGAAGCAAGACAAGGAATCGCTACATCATATGTAGTTGGGTACCGCGCATTCTCAAGTAGCAATTAACCAAGTCTTTGCACATCTTTGGGCCAAAGCAATTAACAGAGCCAAAACTTGTGAGCGCGGCACAGTACCCAACCTTGTCACAGCCCTCACTCGTGCGTCGACTCGATCTCCATCTCCATCTCGATCTCGATCCACTTTGATCGCAATCCATATCAAGATCGCATTCCCATTCTCACCAAGGCATCGGCGTCGGCATCGACATCACAATCAGCAGCTAGCATGCCTCTTCACAGCTCCGACTCGCCCCTCTACCTCATCTTTTTCGCTTCGGGCTCCCCATCCTGGTGTCCAGACTGTCGATCCAGTCTGCCCCTGCTCCAATCCATCTTTTCCTCCTCCTCTTCCTCCTCCTCTCCTCAAGCTTTTCTGCTGACCGTGGATAGGCAAGAGTGGAAGGATAAGGAGAACTTGCACGTGTTCAGGTCAAGGTGGAATGTGCAGTGCGTACCTTCCATTTTGAGATTCGAAAATGTGAGTTTGACGATGAGTGCGCGGAGTCGCAATCTGCAGTGGGGTACTTTTTGGGTG